TATGATTATGATTATTATTATTCTTAGTATTATTCTTATTATTCTTATTATTCTTATTATTATTATGATTATTATTATTATGATTATTATTATTATGATTATTATTATATATACTTCCCATCATCTTCCCATCAGTTCCCTACCCGTCAGCCTCGTGGGGCCCAAGTTCTGCAGCCTCAATCTCCTCTCCTGAGTAAAGAATGGCTGCCCTCAGCCGTTTAGCCAGTGAGCCTGACAACAACTGCGACTCCTTGGAAGGAAGGAGGCTCAAAGCTGTCCTCCAGACAATCCTGAGCAAGGCATTGGCTTGCAATCTCACTGAAAAGAGTGGAAAAAAGCATGAAAAAAGGATGAAAAAAAAGGATGAAAAAAGGATGAAAAAAGGATGAAAAAGGATGAAAAAGGATGAAAAAGGATGGTAGATGATGAAAGGGCTCTTACATGCCCTTACCAGCAAAAATTCTTTGGCCAAAGGCATATCAGGATGGACTCGCAAAATCTCACAAACTCATACAATGCATACACTGAAATAAAAGCAGAACGAAGGCGTCCGAGATTTTTGGACGGCCCTATGTCTGCAGCCTTCAGATTGAAACTTGCAGGATCTCGGAGGAAGGGAATGATCATGAATTATCATGAATTATCATGAATTATCATGAATTATCTATTAGCTGCTTGAATCTGCTTGCAGTCCAATCTCGATATCATCATCTTCAAGAAGCATCATCTCTTCCTTGGTGAACATTGGTGAACCAAGTTGTCCAATCGAGTCCAAACAGGCAAATGAAGGCAGCCCCGAGACGGGACAAAAAGACGCGGACTGAACCAAGCTGCAGGTGTGCACATGGACATTTGCGGACCGCTTGGATAGTCCCAGCGAATCAAGAATGCACCGAGCTCCAAGTAGCGCCTGTCTTCCACACAATCAGTGGAACTGCCTTTTCTCTGACACAAACATACTTCATTCTCTCATCATTCTCATTGTGCTGTCTGAGAACATACTTTAAGTGTTGAATGCAGAGGCAAATTCAGCCTTACCACTCCAACTTGCCACTCCCACGTGTCGGGGTAGAGCGCCTCCACCCTTGCGGCATGTGCCAAGATCTGCTCAACTCTGTGCTGGAGCAACAACTGGAATTCCTACTTATATAATATACATTAATATACATCTCAACAAAACGGCACGTATGAACTTCCAGCCTGTCGCCAATGGAGTATTCCCGGAAAACGCCTTTCATGTCCTCACAGCTCATTTGCCGGTCTCACAACAAAAAGAAGGGACAAGATGGGACAAGTGCGTCTGTTGCATCTGCTGCATCTGCTGCATCTGTTGCATCTACATAAGTCCTTAGAGCAGCAGCAGCTAGTGCGCTGACCAGTTCTTGCTCCCTCCCATTGTACTTGGAAAGTGCCTCGGTTTCTGTGAATGACTGGAGATTCTGATGCACCAGAAAGAGAGATGTCTGACATGTGTTGGAGAAAAACTAAGAACAGCAAAGATGCGACCGCAGGAGACATTGGCAGCACTATTTCGCAATATTGTTTTCATATAGTCCATTGTTTTATATTTATACTACACTTGTGTGTTTCCAAACAACGCACAGACTCTGGTGGCTTTGTGTTTTTGATTTACCTGGCCCAAGACACCACCTGAGTGGACTTCTGAAACAACAGCTGGAAGCATCTCCTAAGTGGGCTCTGCATGGACACGAAGGAGAAAACGCCAATATTCTGCAAGTCATCAGACAGTCAGCAAACGTTTCCCCCCTGAGCGATAGATCAATCACGGAAACATCAAAAAATTGCTGCAGATGGCTGCAGTGGGTCTTGAAAAGCAACTGAGGAACACCAGTTTCAGATCTTGCATCTACCCGGTCACCAACTTGATAGTCGCTGAAAAATCGAATATGTTTCCTCAGAACATGTCGCAGAATCGGCAGCATTAGGTCACCAAGAATAAGGAATGAGAGTTCTGCAAGTTGAATATCCAAGTGTCATGTATCTTGGCCTGCAAACGCTTGTCGGTGAATCACCTGCTAGGTTGGCAATTCAACGGTCCCGAAAAATATTAAGGGAATTGAGTAAATTTACCAATATTTAACCTTTTAGCCACCGTCGTCCACAGCAACGTGTAGAAGACGCTCTTTTCGGTTCTTGCCCTTCCACGCATAAGTTTGTCGCCGCCGCTGCAGCTGCTACCTTTGAAGACCCACCTTGGCAAGCAGAAGGCTGATGCGCTCATATGAAAATCAAACATGGGCGGATTAATCACAATGCGTGACTTCGATAATGAATGAGCATTGCAGCAGCTGCGTATTTTTGAACGTTAAGTTGTCCGGGCACTGTCGCTAGCACAGCTGGCATGGCTGGTACGGCTAAGCTAGTTCAACCATCATGAGTAAACCCCAGGCTTCCCAATCCGAACACCCCGCTTCGAAACAAGTTGGGAAGCAACCCTGCTCATGAACACTACACTAGGCATAGCAGCGGCTGGCTCCATTCAATGTGTTGGCCCACTCCATCTTCGAGAAGCAGGGTCAGGATTTAAACATTCTAAAATATGTTCTCTCCATGGTCCAGACCTCAACATACGAGCCTGCAATCTTCGAGCAGCTGGCTCTGTCATCATCCGTGCTTGGCGCAAGCCGTCCCATGAGCGGCACCATGCATTCACACTATGATTGCAGCTGCGAGCTGGAGGAAGAGGTGCCATAAGAGGGGATGCTGTAGCACACTCAAAAAGCACGCAGCCAAATGACCAAATGTCGACGCATGGGCGCAGATGCTTGCAAATGTCTCCGGAAGATGTGTTCCACAGCTCAGGTGGTCTATAGGGAGCACTAACATATCCATCGAACCTTATCGAGGCAGCTTCAATCCCCATCATCTCAGACATTCCAAAATCCGCTAGTTTCATGCATGAAGTCTCCTGGACCCACAGAATGTTGGCCGGTTTGAGATCCAAATGAAGTATGCGGATGCTGTGCAAAGCTTGCAGGGCAGCTCTAAGCTGCATGGCTAGGCGCTGCATTGCACTTCCAGTGAAAGCACCATTTTGGATGAGCACTTGGGACACGCTTGACCCAGCAAACTCCAAAGCCAAGTAGGGGAACGGCTGCGGTTTGCATTCGACTTCCAACAAGGAAGGAAAGAGTTGCCGCATTCCTTCTTGAAGCTTGTCTTTGATTTGATTGAAAATCAGAACCTCTTGCTTCAAGGAGATCATAGCTTTGCTGCCCTTGAAGATCTTCAGAGCGCAGAAGCGGCCATAGGGCATGAGGCCTTTCAGCACAGTCCCGTAAGAGCCTTCACCAACAGGAAGCTCACCTTGCATCACCGTGATCTTCCCAAATCTGAGGAGCGCCTGGTCCTGGTCTTCCACAGGTTGTGTGGATAGCTGAGACAGCTGAGACAGCTGTGACTGCTGCTTTGGCACGGTTTCATTCTGCATGCGGCGCGTGGGCAAGCCATGCCTTTTCATGGCGTCTCTTTGTGCAGTGAACTCCGATCTGCTTTTTTCCTTGTAGGTGTTCTTCTCAGACTGTGTCAATTTTGCCCAAGCTTTGGCAATGCGTTGCATTTCATGTTGGAATTCTTGTTTGCTGGCGCCTTTCTTCGCCGTGTTGTGCTGTTTCATAAAAAGTGCAAAAGCATTGCGAGCTTTGGGCACTGTCCCCTCAGAAACAGCAACTCTTCGCGACGTTGCCGCACGGTCTGGAACGCTTTGCTTCTTTTGATTTGGCCAACTTCCCGCTTTGAAGAGGCTGCTTGAAGGTCAGCCGGAAGCGTGGCACCACTGCAGCCGCAGCCATTGGGCTCTGCGAGTCTTTGCTTAGAACGGCTAGGACAGCTGAGGTCTTGGGCCTTTAATTTTCAGCACAATCAAAAATGGTAGTCAATGTAGGGAATAAAATTAAAATTGCATTAGACCTTTGGATGCTCACTTTTCACCCTTCAACGCAAGGAAATGGCAAGAATCTGCATTCAAAGGTAAAATTGAATCATCCAAGCATGAACCCCCCAGCAATATCCAAGCATGCAGTGTTTTGCCCGGCACCACAAAGTCTTTGCTTCTTATCTATCTTATTGTAACAAAACTGTGACGGCTAAGACAGCTAGGACGGCTGGTCTTCAAGCTGCGTCGTCATCACTGGCAGGCTCGAGTAGCTCTTCTGCACCGTCATCTGTTGGGACCAGACGCTGAAGTAGGTCAGCAAAATGATGCTTCACCAGCTTGGCCAGCTCTTCACCGAACAAAGTGGAGCCCTCAATGGAGATCAGGCCGCATGCAGGGACCGCCACTGCTTGGAGCCAAGTCATGTGGTCGCGATTGAGGCAAATCCCGTGATATTGCACTCCGCGGGTCAGGCAAGCTTCCATGAGGGCCCCTGAGCCTGCTGTGAGGTCCAAGACTGCCTGACCCTTGAATTCATCCAGCAACGCCAGATATAATTCAATCGGCTTACACTCTTGCCAAAACAATGGCACGTCTTCAGCATGTGATTCCTTCCATGTCTCTGGCACTTGGACAGCTTGGTTGGCTGGTACTAAGATCTTCTTTTTGTCATCCGCATTGATGAGTGGCAGCTCACTCACAGGGCGGAAGGTCACGCCAGAAAAGGTCCCTTGATAGGTGGTGGCTTCTCCACAAGAGGTAAAGTTCTCTTTCTTCGTTGTTCGGATCTTTGTGCGTTGAGCGGGAAACCGCAAGGCACACGTTTCCACCTTTCGGGCTGCCAAGGGCACTCGTCTCACACGCCCCGCACGCGGCAAACACCTGCCACTGTAGATGACGAACAGCTCTTCTGTCTGGGTCTGCGTCAGCACCACATCTTCCTCAGTGCCAAGCATGAGACAAGGATTATTATTGACAGTGAACTAGACGCTCCAAGTTAGTTGATAAATCAATAGGCAGGTTCAAACAGCGGAAGCTTCTTTTCATCCAAACAAGGAGCATGGATCCGCCGAATCTCTCTCATGCGCCCGTCGAAAAGGAAGGTGAAATCTGTATTGCCAGCGAGGCCCACGCAAAACCCGGCCACTGCCTTCCAAGCATCTGCCGCTGGAGCTGATGGGGTGAGCCAAGGCTCCTGAGATGTTTCTGTGACCAAATCTGCTGAGCCAACTATAAGGCGATGGGAAGTGTTGAGATCGCCCTTGTGTGCCCAAACCTTTCCACTGTTCCGGAAAGCACTGTTGAGCGCTTCTTTCGTATACTTTGGAACCACAGAGAAAGTGACAAACTTGCGGCGCTCTGATTGGACTTGCTTCCAAGCCCGCGCTCTGTCTGCAGCATCTTGTTCTGAAGAAATGCTGGGGTTGAGACTCTGAATCAAGCTAGGCGTTGGCAATGGCGCTGCCAGTGAGACACTCTTTGTGTTGGTGTCGTAAGCTTGGACCACCAAATAAAGGTTCTTCACAAAGCCTAAGGAGGAACAACTTGATGAATCTTGCTGGTCGTCGGCTGGAACAGCTTGGACGGCTACTTCAGATACTGCCTGTGCCAGTTTCACATTTTCTTTGGCTAGCGTGCGGCAGTCTGCCAGATATTCACCTCGCATCAAGTCAACCAACAGCTCAAGCAATGTGCCAGTTGCCTTGTTAAACTCAGCCTTCAACGAGTTCAACTTATTGGCCCCAAGTATGGCAGCTGGTGCTTCTTCCTGCTCTTCGCCTTCCTCCTGGAGAATCCCGGCTTCAGAAGCTTCTGGAACGAAGAAATCCAACCAGCACTGCTCTGGCTTGCAGATGTTGGCAACGACTGTGGCACACTTCTGGGCTTCTTGCTCAGGCAGCTTCTGTAGCAATGGCGCCACAAAGTCAAAGGCCTGCATGTGGCCATGTTGGCACACCAGGCAATATATAAATTATTAATAGGCATTAAAAGTAGGCACAAATCTTCACGGCAGGCAAGGTGATAGGCAAAAGCATATAGCTAGTCACAAGGGAGCAGTTTCGCTTGCCTACTGCATTCCTTTTTAATGTTAATTAAATCAATGACTGGAACATTTCAGCTGCCATGCCTCCTTGACGACCAGAGATAGTGATGAAGATGCCCAGTTGCTCACAAGCATCCAAGCGCTTGAACGAAGCAGTCTGTTGCAAAGATGCTAGCTGAGAAGTGAGTCTGTCCTCTCCTTGCGTCATGCCGCAAACACTCTCACAAATGTACTTCTAAATTATTGCTAAATAAAAGGGTCAAAGAGCTTTCCAACCTGTGCTTTCCTTTTCTTAGCAACGCTGTCCATGGAGGAATTCCCTGCATGGCCTTAGCTGGCACAGCCTTCAGCGCAGCCTCAAGACCTTTGGATGCGCAGCTTCATGGATCTTCTGCGCTTAAGGGTTGAATGCGCGCATTCAAGGGTGATGAAACGGATAGAGAAAAAAAACGGAGACACAAGCAGACCCAAGTATAAAGGGGCACTGCTGCAGTGATGGATGGGTTGACAGGAGGAAGGGGCACGGAGAACGCGGAGACAGGAGAGAGAGAGAGAGGGGCAGAGATGAGAGATCCCCCAAAAAAGGATGTAGTCAAAAAAAGGAAGACATGAAAAACATGAAGGAAGAAGAACTGATAGATAGAGAGAGAGACGCAAAGAAAGCGCAAGATACAGAAAGAGAGAGAGAGAGAGTGTGAAGAAAGAAAGAAAGATAGAAAGAAAGAAAGAACGAAAGAAAGAAAGAACCAAAGAAAGAAAAAACGAAAGAAAGAAAGATAGAAATAAAAACAATGGCCCTGAAGTTGAAGAGATTGATTTTTCTTTAAAGGAAGGGAGCATGGAAGAATTTGCTTGGCCAAGCATGAAGAAGACGTTCTGGATCATGGGTCCATGATAATATATTAGCAGCGCTGCCACGTCTTGAGCCAACTATTTTTTGTTATTCACCATACTGGCTAAATTTTGGCCCAGGTTGGAAATGGAATCAACAGAGGAAAGTCGAATAAAACGCAATCTGATGCGCTCATACCATCTTCTATTGTGAGCGCTTCTGCCGGCCCCCTAAAGTCTAAACCCGACAAGAATCCCACTGCCTTTGACACCGGATGCAAAAAACATCCTTGACACGTCTGCTTGAAAGTGAGCGCTGCGCCATTCATTGTCAAGAATGGGTTTGGAGCATTCAGGATACGAAGCACAATGTTGCCAGGATCCTGTCAGTTTGGCAGTGCTGGGACAGCAGGGACAGCTGTTGCAGGCAGCTATATCTTGCTGACGTCACATTGAATGTGCTTCAAAGGAAAAACTTTTCCATCACCCCAACTTGTCACATGCAAAGGCTCTGATGCCAAGGGTGGAACCACACACTTGGCCCGATACAGCAAGTATGCCGTCACCAGAGCCTAGGCGGATCATTGAACTATTCTTGTATTGTATCATAATCCAGGCAATTATGGGATATTATGGGATACACATATTGGAAATGCTTATCCGTCTGCTATTCCCCTTTGTATTTGTTGATATGTCTGTCCATCTCTCTGTCTCTCTCCATCTATTCACTTTGTATTCTCTAGCAACCTGCCTTAGTAAAAAGAACTGTAATCAGAAAGATAATATTGCATGGAATCTTCCCGCATGACTGCTTCCAATTTTGCTCATAGCCGCGCTAGGCAAACGCTGCTGAGGCAAATCTCGCAGGAGGAACTGGACCATGGGAATCAAATCCTTCTCTTGCTCGTTCCAGAAAAGCTTTGCAGCCTCATTATGACATCCAAAGTGTCACTTCCACACATCTACTTGGTAGAAAAGCAACGTGATGCAAGTCTATGAACGCGCTTATCATCACTGACCCGTGTGTCTAAAAACTTCTTTGCCCATGTTGGTTGAAGTAACTGCACGTGGTTCTGTCCAGTGGCTTTGTGTGCTATCCTATCCACTCTGTTCATCTGCTGTGTTTCATAGCCAGCTTCCAGACTCTGCATCCAAAGCTTCACTGCCTTGCTTGCAGACTCTGGCACAGGAGCCATGGAGAAGCACCTGGCAAGGGAGCCAACGTGAATCAGGGTGAGTTTACCTTTGGATGCACAAAGATGACCCTTGGATGCATTGGTAGACCCTTGAATGCACTTGAACACCTTTGAATGCATACTCATGCTACATTGACCTTTGAATGTGTGAAAACAACCCTTGAATGCACATCTAAACCTTCTCCCAAGACAGCTCTTGCGAGCCATGGAATGAGCTACATAGTGTAATGAAGCAGGCTTGGCACATGCCATTACGCCCTTGGATCTTGCGAGCTTGGGGGCATAACAAAGTATGGAGATCCATCAACAATTACACACTCTCAGTAAAAGTAGAAATCAATGGACAAAGCACTTGCTAATACGCTAGCAGTTTTTGGTATCTTGGAGCGTATTGCTAAGGGGCATCGAAAGGCTATCCCTCGCTTTTCCTGCATTGATACGAATGTCTATTCCGGAAACGAATTAATAAAATTTGCCTAGAGACTTGCAGCGCGCACATTGTTTCCCAGCAATAGTTTTGACATGTCGTGCACAATGATGAGCTTCTGACTCACCCACAGGGCCAACAAGCTTCGCGGGATCATCGGCCTGTGCTCTTTTGGAACTGCCAGACTGGGATGGCTGGGACGGCTGAGACGGCTGACTTCTGCTGGACTTTGCAGGTCTGAGGCCCCATCGGCTGCCCAAACCCTTCATCGGCAACGCACGCGCCGCAGGCTGACAAGATGTCTTGGGCGCATTCTTGGGCTTGGCTTTGGGGGCTTTCCTTCCAAGGCCCCATCGCAAACCCAGAGAAGACATGGCGAGGGCAACAGCACAAACATATTATAATTGCGCAAGTAACCATGAAAAATACGGTGGGGCATTATATATATATATACATACACATATTAGTTATGATATATCATATCATTTAATGTATTATTATTATTATCATTATTATCATTATTCTTATTATCATTATTATTATTATATATTATTATATACTAAGTATGTATAACAAATTATGTTTTAAATTGTGCTTGGCCATGTCTGAGAGTCTAGATTCATTTGAATTTCTCGATCCACCCTCCACAAAGACTGCAGCTTGGATTGCTTGAGCTGCAATAATCATGGAAGATGCGCTTGCATTGTGCAAATGACTGACAAAATGGTTTGGCAACAAATAAACGTCATGATTATTAATTAACTAATTCATGTCTGAACCTTTTTCAAGCAGTCCTCACCACACGGCCCACAACCTGAGCAATTCCCCTGAAAAGGCACCTTAAGGAGCAAAGATGTCAAACGGTGTGAAGCCTGTTGGGGGGCAGGTAGCCAGCTTAAACAAGAAGAGCGCGATTTTTTTGAGAAGCCAATTTTTGATTCAGTGATACAGCTGAATATTATTGTTGAAGGTGCAACACTGGTGTCATCAAGATGCGCCCGCATGCATGGACTGCTTGCTCAATTTTCGATACCATGCGAATTAAGAATCAATCACTCAAACATCCTCTGTGGTCATGACGTCCGTGCCTCTTGTTGCTGGAATGGCTGGAACAGCTGAAACGGCTTGGGCAGCAGAAACCTCCAGGCAAACAGCAAGCACCACAAAATTGTGAAGGCTTCAGCTGCCAAGTTTGAAATTTTGAAGCCCCAATTCAGGAGTATTTGACCTGGATCAAACCAGAAAGTTAAATTTAAAATAAACTGGAACCAAAAGAAATCGTTAAACCAAAGCCTGCCAAGACTTTATCTCATCGCAATGTCAAAACACAATGGTAATTTCATGCTACTTGTGGCCAGGCCTCTCCAAGAGCTGGTTGCTGGAACGGCTGGCACAGCTGAATCCTGTGGGCACAGGACAGGAACCAAGTCAAAAAACTCTTGCAGCAGCATCAAACAAAACAGTGCTTGCAAAAGACAACCCTCATTTCAACTTCATTAGCGGCAAGAGGCACCTCTGCAAACAGCGTCCGGTCGTGCAACCACACTGGACACCAACCCAGGCCTGCAAAGTCTGCTAATGTGTTTGAAGTTTTTAAGTTCAAGCTAAACCCACTAAACTGATCTGGATTGATTGCTGCGCTGCGTATGGAATAGAAACCTGATGTCGAAGCGACTTCGCAAAAGCCCGCGTAGAAGCAATTTTGGCTAAGCTGGTCTGGCCTCCACTCTCCTTGGTGGCGATGCAAGATTCCACAGCCTGCGCCGATCATCAGGAAGAAAAAAGGTGGGAGCCCAAGTAAGAGGAAAAACATTCGCATGGGGAAAGCTATTCTTAGTAAGAATTCATCTCATTATAAATTGTTTTGGGTGTAAAAGAATGAAAGAAATCTGATCATGAACTTGCAAATGAGGGCACCAACCATGAACCAAAAACTGCAAGGCTCGAACCATGCCTGGCGAGCGTTTTTGAAGCCACCCACAGGCAGCAACAGCAGCAAAGTAGGCCCAGAGTACCTGCCATCAGTCAACCCTTCGTAGCTGGCCACTATGAACATCGTAATTTTATTTATAGTCCAGTGTTTTGAATGTTCAATCTCATTATCAAACTTTCCTGAAAAAGACGGGAATGTTCATTGAACGTGTTTGTCTGTGAACTTGGCATCAGGAACTTCCCAGGCACCTGCTTCTCCAGAAAAAGAACGTAGGCAAGGGCCCGGCCTGGCCAAGGGATAATCGAATGCGATGAAATGGATGAACGGACTAAATTGCAAAAAAAGATTGAAGCCAAAGCGAGAAAATCACCGCGCTTGAAAAAAAAGTTTTCTGCCACTGCAATGCCACCATCGACGTGATAGTGTGCACAGTTGAGCATTGTTCCAAACCCCTGTTAGTGATGTTACTAGCCAACATTGTGGTGATTCGACTGCTACTAGATTAGTTGCCATATTAGTCGGGATTAAACATCGGTGAAAGGCTTTGAACCATGCTCAGTTGGAAGAAGCCAAGCAAAAATAGCTTGGACGGCTAAAGGCTGGACAGCTGCGGCCAATAGCACCAGCGACGTGCCGGCACTAATCCAATGAATTAAAGCGGCTGTTGCCGCACTGCACTTTGAAAAAAATCGCTTCTCAGTTCCACCAGCCCTGATTCTGCCCCTGATTCTGCCCCTGGTTGCGCCGGCCCTGTCCATGCTGGCCTTGTCCCTGCTATGGGACGGCTGGGACGGCTGTGACGGCTGGGACGGCTGCTGCTGCCAAGTCTGCTGACTCCAGAACGGCTGAAAAGCAGGCATGGCAGGGCGAACTGGAGCCGTCGGCACAAACATGGTTCCGCCCCACCCATCATCCATGGGTGTCATTCCTGGTGGAAAGCCTGTTGCAGCGCTCGGCGGTGGCTGCTGCTGCTGAGGCTCCTGCTGCGACTCCTGCCCGTAGCGCGACTGTGGGCGGGAAGTGAAAACTTGGCGTGTGCGATGGGCGTATTGGGCAAGCTCCATGTCATTGGTGTTCCTGTAGGTCTGGCGACAGTATTTGTCCGCATGGACGTTCGACTGTGCCATCGCCATCTTCACACCATCAGGGACCGAAGAGCATCTGGCCAATGTGACACTCCAGGGCCGTCCTTTTGAATCTTCCCAGCGGGACAACCGAAGTGCAAGCACCATGGACGTTGTCGTCTTTGTGGCCACAAGCGCCCTTTCCTGAAACAAGTTTTCGTTATTTTTCAAAACCAAAAACCACACAAGGGCCTTCAAAGTCACAGGGAAAGCATGCGCTTATGAAACGCACATCATGGGCATATGAAAGTTTTTCTGAAG